ATTAATCCCAATAAAGTGGACTTGAAAAGCATGAAGCATGACTGAATCTTTTACTCCAAGGTCATCCGGCACTCAAAGACGGTGGCACACAAAGGTGCTAGCTAAGTGTAAGATGCCCAAAGGGGGAAAATAAAAAAGGCAAGTAAAGTACTACACCCTGTGATAACACAAAAGGCCATGGTGGAGGGAAACAGTAGACAATAGTTATCAATCCAGGCTTACACTGAGAAACAAGACATAAACACAAGAGGCCTTTTATACCACTGCCATCCCAAAATTCTTTGCTTAATGTTTTTGTTTGCATTTGAAATCATTAAGCTGGAAGTGAACAGGAAAAAAAAAAAAGCCTTTGACTGAGCTACAGACTAGGATGACTTAGCTGCCTGCTGTTTACCTGTAAAATCCCATGACAAAACTGAAGCCCTTTAGGAAGACAAGTCAAGGTATATTGAGCTATAAAGCTCAATCACAGGAGTGCATTGAACATATAATATTCTCTCAACATGCTAAGAAACCACAAACAGTTATCACCAGATGTGTGAGTGTAAGGATATGAATATTGTTTATACAGCCGTAGAAAATAAAGAATGCAAGACAGCAACACCATCAATAAAAGTGTCTTAATTAAATGCAAGCTGCTAAAACACAGCATGCCACCCAGAGTAGTATTTCCTGCATAAAAATTTAAACTTAGTGACAACAATGTTCCTCAGTTTAAAGCGGTAAGTTGACAGAAATACTATTTAAGAAACTGGGTCATCCAGTATAGGCTAGAGTGCAGCGATGTCATGTTTTTCCGTGATATTAAAATGAAGGTGAGGGGAAGCGGTCTTGTTGTTCTAGAAAAAGGTCGTATGATCCGCTGCCCACATTCATTAAAAACTCATGTAAGATTCTGAACTATCAAAGCCTTTATTTGAAATTCATTGTCTATTTACTCTGTAATAAATCAGACTGTGCAAACGGCAAAAGCAAAGACGTACATACAGTTTAAAAAAAAAAAAAACCAAACCAAACAGTAAATAATCAAGTACTTCTCTTGTTCATGTCACCCCTGTATTTTTACGGCCATGTTAATTCTGGAATGTCTACAGACAGTCTATCACAAGGGGATGAGCACACCTGGATATTAATTTACGTGTATCTAACTCTCTCTTCCTGCATAACAAAGAGCTATTTATCAGCCTTCAGTGAGATCAGCAGATCAACCAACATTTCCGTTCAAAAAGTAGGGAACAGGCAGGGAGGTAGGAGAACTCCATGAGGAAGGAGAGAGGGAAGAGTCAGCCGAAGTCGTGAGAAACGGGAAATAATATTAGTCCTCAAAAGGCTGACAAAAAGGGTTCTTAGAAAAAGTCTTTCTGCAAAAAGTTCCATTTTCTCTAACAGAGAGAATCACACCTACCTATAAATCCTGTAGAAGTTTCCATATACACCCACCCTCAAGTGTTTATACTACACTAAAAAAAGGGAAAATGCTCTTTAGGACAATCCTAAACTTGAGGGGGACTCTGAAGGGGCATAAGAGCAATTATAAAATACATCCCCATTACCTACATAAAAATGTAAGATAGATGGACTTTAACAAAGTGAAAGTTCTTTATTGTGCTTGTGAAGGACAAGTTCTACATCCATCACTTCTCATTTCTGATGTTCATGGAAAGCCAAGACCTAGAGTGTAAGTTAAAATGCAAAAGTTTGAAAAAGCCTTGTTTTCACAGCTCTTCCCTTTTGGTAATGGCAGTTTCAATGCAAGTGACACCCAAACTTCTGCATCTGGAATTTTGATTTAACCACATATACTTGTGAGCTTTAGGAACAACCATGTGAAAGTTTTTATCTTCAAGAAAAAGGAATGACATTGGATAAATGCTTATCCATCTCAGGCATAAGTTCAGCAACGTTTGTGAGAATACGGATGAAAATAGCAAAGGTTTGTTACGAGTAGTTACAGAATTCCTCCTCTTCAGTTTTCAAAAACAACAGACAATACAAGATTTTGATTCTTAAATTTATTTTTAGCAGGATGTGTGTACTAATGGATGGTGACATCATTAGCAGATAGGTCCATGTCCACCACCTGCAACAGAAGCTAGACAGATGTTAAAGAAAACAACTTAAGAGTTAAAGATGACACTACTTACCCGGAGCAGACTTATGAAAGTCACCTACTAAGCAGTACCGTTACCTTTTAAAGCAGACACGATAACTTTCATTATTTATCTGTTGTCAAAATTTCCTGGCAAGATTTAATGCATACATTACCTTAATTCTGATGTGAAACATGCACTTTTGCTCAGAAAAAACTATTAAAGAAACTTATTTTTAAAAAGTATTAATGGAAAGATTGGTTATTCAAAGTTACTTACCTATACATTTTCTTCAGAAGATACAAGATCTCTGCAAATTTAGGTCTAAAGCTCCCAGTTTAAAGTTAGCAAGAATTTGCTCGGAATTCAAATTCTAATACTGTTAAACCAGGTCAACAGCAGGTAACATTTCTAGACTTCACTAGGAATACCACAGCCTGTTTCTTACCATACCTAAGGATCGACAAAGCAGGAAGGTGGCGTCTCAGCAATATACTCAGAGATGGGTGACACTAATTCAGAAAGAAACTTCACCAGAAATTAAAGTTGAGCAGCAAAACCTAGGGACAGACAGTTCAGGAAATACATTCTCAAAGAAATTAGGTGACAGGTCCTTTCCCAGTGCTATTTCAAATGAGAAGCCAAGAAGCAAGGCTCAGTCTGAGGTACGGTATTTCCCAAGACTGCAAAAACAGAGTCCTTGATTCAGAAAACAAATGCCTCTAGCTACATGTATTTGGTATTTACATCAAACAATAGCCATAAAAAAAATTTTTAAAAACCCACCCACCAAAAAAAAACCACCAGGGAAACGAGGTCAGCTGGCCCTATGACAGTATCACGAAGACATCCTGATCTTACATTTCAAAACTTCAGAATGTTTATGAGCCTATCCTTTCCAAACCAAAGGCACAATTGGTAGTGTGCATAAAGTCACTTCACTCATCTTAACACAAGTCTAGAAGCTTATTTTAAGGTTCTTGTTTTTTACAATCTCTTAGCTCACGTTCTTTATTAGTCACCTGCATTTACACCACACTGATCAGCCTAAACACCGTCTTAAACCTCAACATCCTAGGACTTCATCTGTTTAAAACAGACTGCTTCAGATACTGAAGAACGAGTCCTGCTTTCTGAAGACCTCTGAAACCAGCCTGAATCTGGAAGTGTGCTGTATTAGAATGAGATCCTTTAACAGTTTAAACAATTCAGCCAAGACAGCCACTTTTAAGGACCAAGACAGCCCGGGAATAAGCAATTGCTTTCTCTTAGGGCTGTGAACTCTTTGATCTAGTAATACTGGGAAATTAAACTGCTTCATATTTGCTAAAAACAACCAAGAATGGAATCTGTTCACAGCTGCACTCCATTTGTCTGAAGGACTAAGTCACTGCCTTCTGAGCAACTCACTGTCTCCGGTTGTCTACTATACCTAACACCCTAATTGCTGGTAATGATCTTCAAAAAGAAGTGGGTGTCTCAAGATAATCAGTACTACACTGGTTGCGTAGGAACTTGTTCTTCAAAACACATCATACATAGACGGAAAGCAGGGCAAGTGATTAAAAGTGTAAAGCTTCATGGTTTTAAATCTTCTAGGTTCCACTCTGCAGTGGGATCAGTTGCTACTGCAACCAGTGCTACCATGCATATCATCTGTCTTACATGAAGTTGGTTAATATTCTTCTCATGGAATAAACACAGTGAAGTGGATAAGAACCACTTCCATCAATTGCTTTTCTGTGAGGCACAAAGTAAAGGAAGGAAGTCAGGAAATAAAAGTATTCTAGGAATGACCCAGCTGATCTGAATGATCACCTCATATACATTGTGAACAGCATTTTCCTGAACAAAGACACCACAAAATCTGCACTCAATTATAAATTATAGAAGGGTAAAGAAAGCACAGAGTGAAGAAAATGTTCTTGACAGGACTGTATGGTAAGAAACCTGAAGAGCAATTAATTTGTGCACCATGTAAGGACTATATGCATATGCTACACTTACACAGCAACTGTTCAGTTATCTGCCCTTGCAAAAGGATACAGCGTCAGTTCTATTACTGTAACACCCAAGTAAGCTCTGGAACCTATATCTCGAAGCTGAGACAAGGAATTTGAGAAACAACGGACATGAAATTATGGATCTATTTAGGACATGTCAGATATTCAACAAAAGGCATGACAGTATTGTATGGTAGGAAAATAGATGACTGGTAGTAGTGAAGAACGGAATAACTTAGGGGCTCACTTGCTCATAATGAGCTGTTCCCTCTGCATCCTTCTTTTATTAATGATTTGTCCTGTCTTAATCATGCTACAAATGCTGCTAAGCAGGTGGGTTAGAAGCTGTAGAACCTGAAACTACGGTTTACTGCATTTAATGGATGCCTGAGTCAGATTAAAAATCTGTACCAAAACCAGTAATGATTATCCTTTAAGTGGCTTCACAAACCTACAACTACTAGAAAGAGACTTCTATTTAAAAAGATATTATAATACACTGTAATACATAACTGAGGATTACAACAATGAATTAAAAGAACAAGAATATTTATGATGAATTAAGCTTATACCATTCACATTTCTATCTATACCATTTCATTTCTATCTGCACTACTAATACTCAGTCTGTTTGTATAATTAAGACTGAACAGACTAAAAAAAACCAACCAGAAATAAAAGCACTGAAGTGATGAAACTGTAACATTACCTAATGTTGAGCTGGTTTAACAGATTTAGAACACTAGAAACAAACAAACAAAAAATCTTCTTTAAAAAGTTCTGGAAGCAAAGACCTAACAGTGGCAATTAAATATTTACCTTTGAGAGAAAATTTGTTTAGGCAAGCTAAAAACATTTGCAAGAACAAGCTTTAGTGAAGAATGGACTAAAACAAAACATTACGCACTTCCAGCTTATGTTCTTTCTCTGCAAGGAACTCTTTTTGACATCGGAGAAAGTCCGACAACATTCGAGTTAGCTGTTTTCTATCATCTATTTCAGCTGCCAACCTGCCATTGTAATCCGCCAGCAACATACATGCATCATCTACCATTTTGGAAAGTTGCTCTCCAGATTCCTTATCTAAAAAGCAAGCAGAGAAAAACAAGTAAAGCATGATGTCATTATACACCGTTAAAGTTCTCAAAATGGCATTTCAGTTACTGGATCCCCAACCCTCACCTGTTATTCTGTCTAACAGGGACACATCCTGGACCTCTATAGGCAAAGAAGCTATTCTCTGATGAACTGCTGCATCCCCAGAGGCAGCATTTTCTAGTTCTTGTAATGCTCTAATGAGATCTGTGGTCTGAAAAAAGCATGCAAGATTGAGAACTAGTTTAAATAAACAGATCCTGGTACAAAACAGTATTTCACAGTAAGCTTATGGAATCAGTTCGATGGTAATTTTAAAAGCATTTATGGTATCAGCATTATAGCAACATTCTATCCCCTCTCAGACTGAAAACAAAACTAAGCCATTAATTCTCAGAACAACATTGTGGTTCCTACTTTTAAAGGTCACCTTCCTAAAATAGATTTTTCATTTAAATTCCTGGTATGAGACTACTTATAAATCTCATTTTTGACAGCAGTGATTACTTTCACAGTACCTTTCATTTTACTATACATTTTTGAAATTATTTTTCCTGTCGTTTTGCTTCACTATAGCATCAGACTAATCAGTGCACTACTTTTGCAAATAGGGCTGATGTTCACAGAAGCCCAGATGTCTGTTACAGAGAAACACACTAAACTGTAATTATTTGAGGACAGTCATCACCTGCCGTGACAAAAAGTCTTTTGAGATGGGGAAGTACCATAACAAAACACCCACAGGAATTATAAAAGCCATAACAACACAAGGTAGACAAGAACTTTTCTCAACCATCTTGACTCACATTGAGAAATATTTTCTTGCTAAAGCGATAACAACCCTATTCTAATACATGAGTTACTGGTTACCACCCTAGGAAACAAATGAGAACCTAAAACACTGTAAAAACTAATGGCGAAATCCTGATGCAGACAAAGCTGGATATGTAGAGTTCGCATATCCTGGTTTAGTGTCAAACTGACTAGAGTTACAGCATACTCAACTTCTCAGCTCCAACATAAAGAACTGTGAAGAAAAGTTTTGGTGTAGTCACCGTTGCTCACAAACAGTGTATCACTAAAAACAGAGACCATTCTAAAACAAGAATAACTGAAAATTTCTATATCAAGCCATATGCAAATACAGAATTTCATAAACAGACTTTTACCTGTGGAGGGTCAGTGGGAGAACTTCGAGGTGAACAGCTATTTTCATCAATTTTTATCTGTTCGTATGTGCGCTTCCTCGCCTTTCTGTCTCCGTCTAAATGAAAACAGACAGTCAGAGAAACAGTATTTCAAACAAGTCGACTGAATCTTCATACACACAGAGTATACTTACACAAAGCTTGCCTAAGTTGTTCTAATACATCATTTTCATAAACAGACCTTTCTTCCCAGATAGACAGCACTCGGCCAAGGTGTTTCTTACAACTCTCATCAGACTCACTGTTAGAAGGGAAGGAAAAAAAAAAAAAGCAATGATCAGCCCTAGGTAAATTACAGCACTAACGTATGATTATCTTTCACAGAAAGACCCGGACATATCAATATCAAAGTACCGTACTGGAAGTCCAGTAATCTCAGAAATTAACACCATCATGCTTTAAAGAAAAGCAAGCAAAGACCTCTTCAAGATGTCCTAGCAAGCACATTAAAAGAGGCAACGCCCAATTCCCTCTTTCTGTCTGCTTGCTCAATAGAGTATGTCTATAACCCTATTACACAAACACTGCAAATAGGTTTGTTTTGCTTCAACAGCTGTGTACCACGTGAAAATAATTCTGTATCAAGACTCTAGCATACTCGAGCAACGTGATGAACAGCTTGCTGAGAAAAAAATATATCATGCAGCGCTAGTAATGAAACATATCAAACTGCTGTAGTATATAAATGCAGACTGAAAGCAAGCCTTAATTTAAGATATAGCTAACATCTTTCTAAGGCAGAAGGGACTGAATGCAGATGAATTTATTGTGTAACTTCATCCAGTGGCATTAAGACTACTCAAGATCAAAAGAACACTGAATAAATTAAATTAACAAGACGAAGTACAGAAACAGCACACAAGGACTAGCTGGGTCAGAAGAGAAACTTCTCTGAATCCCCCCCAATAAAGCATGATGAAGGACATGGCACGTAACAGTTTACTGTACCTTGAAACATGCTTAAAAGCCTCCACTATCACTGGTGCAAAGTCTTTTGTAAATTCTGGTCCTTTCCTTTTGCTGTTCTGTATGACATCATTGGCCAAGTACAGGAATGTCAGCTTCCTATTTGGTTTTGCTGATAAACAAGAAAAATTAGAAATTTTAGTTCCTTCAACTAGTACCTATTTATCCACATTTACACTAAACACCAAATCAAATGTGTTTTTCTTATTTCCCTCATTGCTTACAATATATCACTTTAATTTTGTATTTAAAACTGTGAGAAGTCTTTGGTCACCCACTGGCTTTTCTCTCGTCTGCTCTAACTCTTTTGCTCAGCCTCTTCCTCCTTCGTAATATGACACAAGTTCCCCCTAGCCCCATCTCCAAAAATAAACAGAAAAAATCCATGATATTCCAAAGTGTTCTTCAGCCCCCACATATTTTCGGATGTTTTCCTGAGCCTGATGTAATTTGTCTGTTTGGTAGCCTATGGTGGATTTTTTTCCACATACTTTAGCTTCCCTTTGAGCCTGCACATTTTTGTTACACCCATGAAGTGCTCTGACAAGAAGCTTCACAGATCCACAATCATTCACATGAAGAATCTCTTCCTTTCCGCTTGAATTTCACTCAGCTTTATGTAACTGTCGCTCATTTTTGTATTTGAGCAAACTGAACAGTCAAAGCCTAGTCAACCTCTCCGTAACACTGTAACATTCCCCTCCATCTCCTAACCATGAGAAAAGCAGTAGTGCAGTACAGCCAACCTGGGATTTCTTAAAAACCCACACTTAGTTCCCAACATGATTTAATTTTGTTAATTTCCATTCCAAACTCTCAAACATGTAGAACCACCACCCTCACACACAAACAGAAAATTCAGTGTTGATAGGCTTCCATTGTAAGGAAATGGTTTTGAGAATAAATTTTGCATTATAGAAAGATTCCTCTGAAGGATTTCTCCTTGAAGTATTGAATTTTTTCCATCCTTTTGGGCAGACGTATCCAACAAGTTAAGAGAGTTCTAGATTAAGTGGGGAAAAAAAACCCTGCATTAGAAGTAAAAATGCACCTATTCTTAGAATCATGGCAAACCAAAACATAGCAAAAAAGAATTAGTTTGAGAGTGCTAAACACACAGTGGGTCTATTAAAAGTCCGCTCCAAACAGTAAAGTCATTCCATGCAAACAATCGGGAAATTCACTTATTTGGGTCAAAATCTGACTAAATAAAAATATAGGTTTTATAAAGTTATGCTAACATAATTTCTTTAATAAAAACTGACAATACAGCAATACATCTACCTATTTTCAGGTAAATCATACTTCTGACAAAGAAAGCTTTGAATTTTTCAAAGAGAAAAATCTTAGAAAACATGTCTTGTCTAACTGATGCATCAAAATTAAGTAGCATTTACTAAAGCTGATCCTGTGCCCCCTCCTTTCTTAAATAAACCCAGAATTTGGACTCCAAACCTAATGAAGACCTCTGTTCCCCATACCACATGCTCTGAAATGCTTGCAGGATAGGTTCTAGTCCATCCATTTCACAGAAAATGTCATGTTTTAATCCTCAGTGATATAATTCATTTGTCACAGACCTCAACTTCTTTGTTTCCAAAAAGTAATCAAATCAACTGAGCTGGTAAGGACAGATGTATGCAGTGCCATGAAGTCATGTGATGTGGATTCTCAGAAGGCCTAGACTTTATCTTATTCACTACAGTACAAATATCACCATGCTAAAACCCAGAAAATCACTTCCAAGCTTATTTCCTCTAGTATTACCTTTTCAGCTTCATCCTACAATCCAACAGAAACAAAGCTGCATTTAATGAACAAAAATCCTCAAAACACTATTAAGCTATATGTGGATTTGGTTAGAAATGCAACTGGTTTTCTACCCTTATGTTCGAAAAGTAAAATGTAATAATTCTTGCTGTATGAATGCTCTGCAGAAAATTCCAAAGCTAAAAATTATTCCTACTCTCAAGAAGTGTTCCCTTTCACTTCACAGGTCTTAAGGAGTTACCTACCGGCCTACTACCGCTCTGCCTTACACAGAGGACTGAAGTGCCACATAACCTTTGGCAACTGAGGTTCACAGCTCTGAGCTGAAAAACCCGAAGTGTTCTATTGCTAACAAAATTGTAAATTAACTATTGAAGTCTGAAATACAAAATTAAATTCGAGACCAGACAGATCTGTTCTGAAAAAAATTATCTGTTTAAAGCATCTCTTCAATAGCAGTGACACGAACTGTTCAGCTCTCGGCTTTGATCTACTTCCAAACACCAAAATGGATCACAGAATGGTTAAGACTATTTAAGAGTGCCCCCAGTGACTGGCAAGACAAAAGCACTCTTACTGTCAGAAGAAAGTGAAACAAAAAAGGTATCATCTCAGGTTAAAGAAAGATCTGAAAGGCACATAGTGCCAGAGTGTATAGTGTTATAAGCAGCTAGCCCACAGCATCTCTGGTACACCACTAGGACAGCCTGCAACACAAAACTGCCAAGAAAGCATCCATGTTGGACTGAAACCATCTGTTCAGAAGCTCTGTACAGTGTTCACATAATTCTTCTGCTTGTTTCAGCTAGATTTACCATTTGCCCACCAAAGCAGCACCCTGAAGTATTTTAACAGATCAACGGTGCTGGCTGGTATAAAGACCATATTAAGCAGATTACTCTTAAAGCATCCAACTATGAGACTAACTGGGATTGGCACCTCGCAACTAAGTCTGTCCCCAGAACGCATGTGACATATTTAAATGCCAATGAATACTTAGCATGTATTCATGGTATTTCACCTGTAACTAGTGGAATCAGGCATATGTGGTGGAGAGACACAGCATCCTCGTTATCAAGTCTTAAGTTGGTGGCAACCTATACTTCTTAGGAATGCACACTTGTTAGCCTGGCCTGGGTATTCCTGGTTCTCTACCAGTCTACTATAGATGTTCTGCCATTGTATACTTGAGTCCGTAACAATGACAGAACTCTGAACACTGAAGAGCCACTAGTTTAGTGCAAGAAACCCTAGTATTTTACCTGATTAAAAAAAAAAAAAGGCATGTTATTTTCACTGAGGTTAACTCTGGCATCAAAGCCAGCATAATCACCCATATTTGTCTTCTCCAGATTTACCTCCTGGCACTGGAAACTGAGCTCCCATGAAGATTGCTAGAAACATGCCTGTTAATGCTGTTCTACACCTCTTCCCTAGAGCCAAGAGAAACTTGCTGTCTTAAACATCCAGGAACAAACCACAGAGCAACACCCATGCGTAGCGGACTCACTGGCATTCCACTACAAGGGCATAGACTATTGACCCATTTGAAAATGTCACAGACTTTAACCATCTACAGGCCAGCTCTACTATGCAAACTGCCCTTGAATTAAAATATTATTTAACATGAGGTTTTTGAGAAAAGGAGAATAAGTAGGTTACCTAAATTATCAACACTAAATAGTTTCTTTTTACTGAAGACCTCTAATATGGATTCAAATAAAGATTTGGCTCAGTGGCTTTTGAATTGCATTAGTCTACATACATGCAGCAGAATGAGTGTCAGCACTTCTCTCAAAATCCCTGGGACGCTTCCTGTGTCACAGCATGCATCACACCTTTGCATGAGAACTTACATGACATTTTTGTAAACATATAACCAGCTTTCAAGCTTTTATTGCAAGATCAATTCGTTTTAAAGTCAAGCAGCACTGAAAATTGAGTGCAAGATCACTGACCCTTCACACTGACAGCTAACCTGAGTTTTTATGCAAGCTCATTAAGTGCAGCATCTTTGGTAACATGACTGAAAGTATAGCTGTAAAAAGTCATTTCAGAGACTATACCAGAAAGGACAATTCAAACATAATATAATCCATAACAGGCATGTTGTACAACAAGCACTTAATCTTACAAGTCATTAACCTTCTGTTATGAAAAAGTTAAACTAAGTGTTCAACATTGCAGTCACACGATTCTCCTGGTGAATTTCACCACAGTTTGACAACTGCTGGGTGTCCTTCTCAAAGAGAGGAATTAGATTGCCCACAGAATGCGTGTTCAAGGTTTGAGGGTCCAAATATCTTGACTGTGTTTGGAGGGTAGTAGACAAAGGGAACACAGCATACAGCCACTGCTGGGAGAGGCCACTGGCATCAAATTACCATGGGGACGCAAGAAAGTTGGTCACAAACCAAGGAAACCAACATAGTTACTCTGCGCAAGCTTCCCACTGCACCTAGCATATCATGAATTACCTGAACACATGAAACAAACCAATTCTTTTCATGGTCTAGTCTGACAGGTACAATGCCAAGGTGGTTGTGAATTCACAGCAACAACAGTTTTAGGATAGGAAAAAAGACACTGAACTTAAGTATTCAGGACCAGAATGATTAAAGACAGGCAGGTACAGGTAAGATACCAGGACTTGAGTGCTGCAGAAATAAATGAACATTAATTTGTACACACTGCATTCTTTCAAGGGTAATACTACGGGGTCAAGTAGTCAGGCTGAATTACACCACCCAAATGTGACTATTTTAAGTGAAAGATTCTTATATGGCTAACCCATTGCTCCCAACTGTAGGTCACTTTGTAAGTCACTTATGTAGCAAATGCATTTCTCTGACTTGAGTCAACAACTCGCATTCAACCTGAAGTTGTCTGCTCTTGGTGGAACTCCAACCTTTTTTGCATACATGAGAAGAATCATGTGGATAAGCAGGAAGGTACTCACAAGCACCTGTCTTGCATGTCTTGCTGGCCTCCTCAAGAACACCTCCTGATGAGCAAAATCAGTGAACTGTAGTTTTGTTTCTTTTATTTAAAAGAAAAAAACCCAAACTATTTATTCTCTCAAGTGTATCACATTGGCCAATGACACTCTAGCACCATTAAGTAAAATAATCTTACAGCCACCAGTACAGAAAGATTCTTTCTCCTGGCAGAAAAACTACACTACATAGTGCAGAAAACAACTGCTTTAAAACAGGAACTTGTTTCCTGAAATCCACTTGGTATCTGCAGTATTTCCACCACTTTTGGCTATGGTTCTGCTCCAAAGCAGCTGACTGAATGTAGATGTAGTTCAACTTTCAAATCTGGGGTCAGTGTTCTAGG